TATTAAATTATAAAATAAGAATCATTATATAAAAAATTATTTTTAATATTAGAAGGCTCATCCCTTATTTAATAATTATAATTATCTAATATGATATAATTCAGATTATATAATATTTTTTTAAAAGATAAATTTGTCTTTTGAAAAAAAATAAGAATAATTTTTTTAATTATTAATTGAGATAAATAATTCACTCACTATTTAACACTTACATCCCAAATATTAGGATTCCTCTTGCCATGTAAGTTTGTTTTTAACTTAAAAGTTTTTTTTTTTTTGAACAGCAAAGTATAATATTTATTAATAAACGGAGTACAAGGGGTTTTGATGTTTATGGGTTTTTAACTTAAAAGTTGATATGTGATGATATATATTGTTAAATAATAAGTTATTTATTTCAATTAATAATTTTAAAAAATAATTTGTCTCTATTTTTTTTAAATATTAGATCTATACTTACCTTCTATTTAAGAGATAAATATGAGGATTTGGCTTTAAAAAATTACAAACAAAATGGAGATGGCCATTTTTTATTTAAAAAAAAAGAAGCAAATATCAAACTCCCGCTGAATTTTCCATATCCTGAAACAAAATAGCACCGGTTGGCCTGAAAATAAAAAATAAAAGGTACTTCAGTTCAAGGTGTTGGCTAATGGCTCATGGTAGCTAACAGACATTGAAATTTAAGGGTTGGATTTCAATGTGTTGGCAATGTCGATGACGAATCTATATTTAACATCTGCTTTCAACAGGCGTTCCATAGCAGTGTTCACATAGTCCATTGGTATAACTTCAATATCTGCAGTAATGTTGTGTTTGGCAGCAAAATCAATCATCTCTTGCGTCTCCTTCATCCCTCCTATGCAACTCCCACCCACCATCTTCCTCCCTGTCAACCGGAATTCATGTCAGCTAGCTTTTGTTTTATAGAAAAATATTGCCTTTTTCCCCATTTGATTTGCTGAATTTGTACAGTATATATATATATATATACAATATTCTAACGGCATAATGCAACGGTTAGAATAAACAAGTAATGGCTAATTAGTTGCTTTCCGTAATTGCTTCTGCTTTCCGTAATTGCTTCCTAGAATCAAGGGATGACCTTGATATGCTGCAATTAATATGCTGCGATGGCTGTGCTGTATATGTAGCTAATACCCCCCCGTCAAGTTGGAGCATGTAAGTTGTAGATGCCCAACTTGCGTAGAAGGAACTGAAATTGCTCTTTTCCCAATGCTTTGGTGAAGATGTCAGCAATTTGGAACCGAGAGCGGACATGTGAAGGTGAGATAACACCAGCTTGTATCCAATTACGAATGAAGTGGCAGTCAAGTTCGATGTGCTTTGTTCGTTCATGGAAGACTGGATTGGTGGCAATGTGTAGAGCGGCTTGGTTGTCACAATATAGTCTAATCGGCTGAGGAGGATGAACTCCTAAGGTTTGCAACAGTGCCTTTAGCCATAGTAGTTCACTAACAGTGGATGCCATTGCTTTATACTCAGCTTCAGCAGAGGATCTTGATACAGTAGTTTGTTTCTTAGTTTTCCAAGAGATTGGGGAGTTGCCGAGCATGGTGATGTAGCATGTAGTGGATTTCCTTGTCATTGGGCAACTAGCCCAATCAGAGTCACAAAAGGCAGAGAGGTGAAGTGAGCTTGTTAACGACAGGAAAATGCCTTGGCCTGGGGAAGATTTCAAGTAACGTAAGACTCTCATGGCAGCATCCATGTGGGGCTGTTTGGGTTTCTGCATAAATTGACTTAAAATATGAACAGCATAAGATATATCAGGTCGAGTTATAGTCAAATAGATAAGTTTTCCAATGAGTTGACGGTATTGTATAGGATTGGATATGGTGCGACCCTCATCCCTGTTAAGTTATGTTAATTTATGTTATTGACTCTTACATATACCCTTTCCACTCTTGTTTAGTTGTTATTGTA